TATTATTATTATTATTATTATTATTATTATTATTATTATTATTATTATTATTATTATTATTATTATTATTATTATTATTATTATTTCAATCACTTGTGAATTTATAGCTGAACCTCCCCAAACGTTAAGTCGCTTGGCTCTCCAACCCAGTTCCGGTATGGACATGAGAAAAAAATGAATTTCAAGTATTGAAAATAATGCATATTGTAATGCATGTTGTAGACCATCAATTTTCAAGATTATCAAGTGTTTATAGATCTGCTCGATCTACATTATTTTTGAAGCTTTAAAATTTTTATAATTAGATATGAAAAATAATTTTTTTTACCATCAAAGAGATTTCCAATATTGAAATAACATCTTTCGATACTATTTGAAGATGTGCCTTACTTTGATTGTTTAGGCCCACAACCTTATACAAACCATACTTTGGTTGTTTAGGGCCCTAGCCTTACACAAATCACACATTTGACTTATTTTTTAAAAAATTTTGGTTTAAGGTAAGTATATTAAAAGTGAGAGTAAATTAAGAATCTTCATTTAACAAATAAAATTATAAAAAAATTTCAACAATATGTCCCCTAGAAAACGTGTAATAGATTATCCAAAAATAATCCATATATCTTAAAATAATAGTTAGAGTTGAAAGAAGAGTAGCCCAATGAAAAATGTTTTTTTTTCTCTTTAAACACAGAGCGTAATTATAAAGAGCAAGAGAGAGATTCGGTGAACCAAAGATTTAGCCAATTAGGAATTTAGGGGAGCTTCAAATATTGGGATTAACTTAAGCATTTTGTTGCTTGCTTTATGCACACAGACGTTTGATTAATTTTGCCATTCAATTTTTTTTCTATTTTATTAGATATACAACATAACAATTTGGATGGACCACTATTTTACATTTTGAGCTTTTGTGTTTTAGTTAACTACAATCTTATATTGAGGGATTTTTTTTTTTGCTTTTTCTTCGAACAATAATCACATAAATTGGGGTTACTGTTTTTGGTGTTTACTAATGTAGTTCATCACCATCAAAGTCTTATCCCAACTAATTAGGGTCAGCTATGTGCTAATGTAGTTCTTATGTTTAATATTGTTGTTGTTTTATTGTATGTTATCAATGAATCTACCATATATTTTGTGTCGTGACAACAAAGTAAGCTTTATTGAAAGTTTAGAAAAAAGTTGTCAAGTATGACTCTAATAATATAAAGTATGGACATAAAAATCAGAAAACATATACAAAGAGACCAGTAACTTTTGATACAAAGAGGTCACACTAACTCTTGTCCATCAGATTTCATATTGGGTGGTTGTAATTGTTGTAAATTTAGATAAGATGCATAGCTCAATAACAGTCTATAGAGAGCAATAATCTTGATCAATTCTCATTAACAAGGAATGAAACCCTAAAAAGGTCTATATATAAATACAAATTTAGAGTAGGCTACATTATCCCTACACAAATATACATTGACAATATAAGACAACTGAAAAATTATATATTTTATTATTTATCCACATTTTTACCCTCCTTTAAGCTAATGCGGACATGAGTAAAGCATTAGCTTGTCTACTAGAAAATCATGGTGATTCCGAGTAATGGATTTGGTGAAATTATCAATCATTTGCACAGTAGAAGAAACATAAGGAAAAGATAATATACCATCACGATAGCGATCACAGACATAATAGTAATCTACATTGGTATATTTTATTTGCTCATGAAAAATTGGATTAGATGCAATCTCAATTGCACTTTGTTTATCTGCACATATTGGAGATCATCTTCTTGAGCCTATGATGCAATGTAAACTCGTAGGCTCTCTCTTCTATCTCACTATGACTCGCCTAGATATTGCATATGTTGTGAGCCAATTTGTTTCAGATCCTCGACAACCACATCTATCAGTAGTTCACTGAATTTTACACTATATTTAAGGAACTTCCATTCATGGATTATTCTTTGACTCCACATAAGTGTATAATTGATTAAACTCAAACTTCAAAAAAATATTTTTCAAACTTTGTGTCAGACCCCAAACCATCCAATTTAACATCTAATAAATATTAACAATTGTGACCTTCTTGTAACAAAGATAAATGGTCTCATAGTATACAATTCCTAAAAATTATAGTTCAATGGTTTTGATGTATCCATACAATAACCACAATTCATAATATCATATTTTATTACTTTTATATATCTGATTTTTTCACTATGGAATGCAAGTTCGATGGTTTTGAGTCAAATAAAAAATAGTCACAATTCTCCAACTTACCTAATTTTTGGCGATCTGTATATTTGAAGTGATTTTTTGCCTCCGACTTTTTGGAACAAAACCATTTATTAACAATATTTTTGTTTGACACCATTTTATTATTCCCTTACTTGCTAACTATGGTTTCAACAAGGTTCTCGACCAGGCTATATTTTGGACTGAACAGGCCAATGCTCCATTAAGTAATCGATCTCAAACTGGCATATTCTATTAACTAAAAAAGAAAATACCTTTGTTGTTTACGAGTCGTCTAAAGGAATAAAAGAAAGAGCATGGAGTATTCTACATTTGACTTGAAATTAAAATATTTTGGTAGAAAATAGGGGTGGCAATGAGGTCGGTTTGACCTAAATTGGGTTCGAGTCTGGGTCCAGGTCCATATATTAGATCCATGTAGGTCGAGTTCAAATCCAAATGACTTTGACCCGATTTAGGCCGGGTCGACCTCAACATAGGCCTAACCAGACACGGTATAAAATATAAACTATATATATGGTAGGAAAAAGTTTATGTAAAGGTGAGGCCCTCAACAATCAAATTAAGGCGCACTCACAAATTCATTAGTAAAAGTTATTTCAATGCTGAAAAATCGTCAACTCGATAATCTCGACCTCTAGTTTATGGATATGAGAAGAAATAAATTTCAAGTTATGGAAATAGATCATCTTGTAATTTATTATCTAGGCCATCAATTTTCTTCATTTTCAAGTGTTCATAGATATGCTCGATCTACACTATTTTTTAATTTTTAAATTTCATAATTCAAGATGAAAATAGAGATTTCTGATACTGAAACAATCTATTCTAGCACCTATTTGAAAGGTACACCTCACTTTGACTGTGTAGGACCTGAG